CCTGCCCTTAAAATGCTGGATATTCGAGTCTCAGTAATTTACATGGGAATTAAAAGGTTTTGTCGATACAGCCTAAGAGAAGGACCACATGGAGGGCGGAAACCAGAGATCCTGGAGGAAAAAAAAAAACAGGTTCCAAAAAGAGCCGAGATCACCGGCAAGTCCCAAATGGGGTAGGTACCGCATCCCGCCTCCCCCAGATGGAACCCAGGTGACCAGAAGCCTCTACAAGCACAGCTCGAGTATGTGGGAACTAGGACTTTTTCTCAAAACCTTGTATATCTCTCTATATACAAAGTGATCAATGGGAAGTGATCTATATACAAAGTGATCACCCAACCTTTCTCCCTGAAAATCAGAGTTAAGTTTGGAGCATGGCCACAGCCCCAGAAACACAAGGACTTAATGCAGAACCCAGCAGCTTGGAGCAGAAAAGTGAAAGGACTATGCGTTAATCCAGGCCATCAAGTCTGCCCGGAGGGGAAAGGGTGTTGCCCCAATCGCCCTCTCCTCTCTGGAAGGAAAGATGGCGGCCGCATGGGAGCCTTGGGGACAGCAAGTATGAACCGGGGGTGTGGGGGCGACTAAATCCTCATGGGAAGGGGGGCGTTCCAGTCCGTCCTTCACGCCCTACCAAGGCCAACAGTTGCCCCCCATGAGCGGCTCTCCAGCACGGCCACGACTCCAGAACACAGAAACCAATCTCTTAACTATCTGACTTTCAGTAGAAATACTTCCAGGGTCAATAGGTAAAATAGCAGAAATCCAAAACCAACATTTAATTCTTGAACCCAGCTGTAGAAAGCAAATCACTTCACAATGCTTTTTCAGCATGTCTGATTTGGGGGGGGTAAACTCTAAATAATAGTGGTGAATCTTTTATTGAAACAATGAATCTAATCAAAGCAGATAGAGTGTTAACTAGAATTCATCTGCCTCACAGGGACTGGGAGGGGTGGGGGGTGGGGGGTGGGGTTCTATTGGGGTTCTTCATGGTAAAAAATAAGTATTGGTAAAGGGAAATGTGTTTGATATTTGCATGACTGAGACCTAAACCTGAAAGCTTTGTAACCTTTCCCACAGTGATTCAATAAATAAATAAATTAAAAAAAAAAGGTTCTGTCAACAACAAATGCAGGGTCATCAAAGACACAAGACATGGTGTTTAAGTTTCTTTTCATTTGTTCACTTACTTTTTAAGCAGTTTTTATTGATAGAACATATTTAAAGATATGTGAGGGGGAGAAAGAGAAAGGGACACATGTTCAAGAGGGAAAAATGGGCTTCTCCAGAGCAGAAAAATCCTTATTTTTTTTTTCACCATGAACAGGTCAGCTATTGCATTTGTATTTTTATGCAATAGTATTCAAGTCATTATTTCATAGCTGTAGAGTTCTACACCAATCCTTCCACAAAGTGCTTTCAATTTTGCCTCACCGCCTTCAATTCTGAGGCCAAATATAAAAAGACTTTTCTGGGCACTGAGGAGATAAGTGGTAGAGCACATGCTTAACTCATGTGTTATTCTGGATTCAATTCCCAGGACCACACATTCTCCCCAAGCACCACCAGGTATGGTCTTTCTAGTTCCAGAGCGCTACCACGTGAGCTTCTAGTCAAATAAATAAATAAATAAAAAGCTTCTGTGACATTTACATCTGTATAGTATTGGATATCATGGTCACGGTCACGGTCCTCCCGTTGTTCATTGATTTGTTCGAGCGGGCCCAGTAACGTCTCCATCATGAGACTTGTTGTTACTGTGTTTGGCACATTGAATACGTCATGGGGAGCTTGCCAGGCTCTGCCGTGCAGGCGAGATACTCTCGGTAGCTAGCCGGGCTCTCCGAGAGGGGTGGAGGAATCGAACTCGGGTCGGCCATGTTGGCTGCGTGCAAGGCAAACGCCATACTGCTGTGCTATCGATATCATTACAGAAAAAAATTTTAACTGGTTTTGGAGCACACTTGGCGGTGCTCAGGGCTTACTCATGGCTCTGCACTCAGGGATCACTCCTGGAGGGGCTTGGGGGGCCAGGGATTGAACTCGGGTCGGCTGCATGTAAGGAAAGCACCCTGCCCAATGCACTATCTCTCCAGCCCAAGAAGTACATTTTTACATTGATGTTTACCTACTGAACTTCAATCTAATAGATCACTTATTTTTTAAATAGCGTTTGTTATATGTATATTTTAAAAACGCAGAAGAAACTTTTTTACCATGAGTCTTAAAAAGAAATAAAAAGTTTACAGATGGCAACCACAAAATACTGCTATGAAACAAAAAGGCATATTTTGCATATTTTAATTATCTGCATTAGCTTGATGATTTGCATCTTTGTCTACTGCTGTGCTAAAACTTCCAAGTTTCTATTATTGTAAGGAAAGAGTTTGTACTACTAAAATGTCATATGGCTATAATAATGAATCAGATCAACAGAAAGTGTTGGCTTGCTAAACACATGGAAGGATGCATGTGTTATCAGGAAATTAAAACAGAAGCAGCTCTTAGAGGGAAATCTTTTCCATGATGAAAGCACCCCTCTATGCTTCCCCCATGCACTACAGAAAAGCTCCCAAGGTCCGTAACAAAAGGACAGAACTCTCCTGTATGGCTGAGAAGTGACCAGATTCTATCCAGTGTCCTCAGTCACCCAAGTATCCCACCACAATAATGACAACAACAATAAAGCATCTCAATCAAACTTAATGATGTCATGAATGCCCAAAATGGGAAACCTGCCTCTGACCCCCCTACCCGCCTTCCCTTTGTTGCAGGGTTTACACACTTGATAGTGTACTGACCGGAAGTCATACACTTGGGTGTGGTGCCGCCACATACTTGGTTGAAATATGCCAAAAATCACTTGATGTGCCACCTGGATCACATTTGGTAAGTGGAATGATGCTGGGGATGGAACTCATGAAATCATAGGTTAAAAGCAGGAGCTCTGTCTCACAACTATTCCCCCCTAAGAAAAATGTTTTGACCAATGATTTATTACGGGAAGTATATAAGCACAAAGTAAATTCTTTGAAAAGATCATTTATTTGGGCTTTACAGCCTCATTTGTCTGAACATGATTCTGCTTTGTAGGAATGCTTTCTGCATAAACCCATCTAACTGAGAGCAATTTGTGGAGCTTAAAACTGACATTAAAGAAATTTGCAACAATTGTCTCAATAACCCATAGTTAAGCTAAGCTAGCTTTCTCATCAAGTGTCTCTCTCTAATAGACTTTGTTCACCCCCTGTCTTCAGAATTCACTGGGTACCAGAGGGACAGTACAGAGGGTAGTGCACTTGCAGACGGCTTACCCAGATTCAATCCCTGGCACCACACATGGTCCCTCAGCCTCAGCAATAGTGATCCCTGAGTGCAGAGCCAGGACTAAGCCCTGAGCACTGCCCACTGGGCGTGACCCAATTTCCCAATCACCACCACCACCAATCCCCTATGCCCTCAAAAAACAAACAAAATGACAGAATGTATTGGAACTCACTGAAGTCCTATAGTTTCAAGTCAACAATGCAATGCTCAGTTAGGCTGACCAAACTAACCAAAAGTAGCTTAAATTAATCAAAATTAAACGTGGACGTGACATTAGAAGAGAACAATCCCTTAGACTTCATCATAGCCCTTCGTTTCTGCCCTTATACATAATGAGTGTGGCCCAGTGACATTTCTTTGGAACATAGAGACTGGAATGCCAAATCTTCACATAGTTCAATGTACTAATGTTGCTCTCAGACAAAGAAGTTTAAACTCCTACTGACTGCACTGATTATTGGCTGGGGCTATTATCCATGTGGCTATCTTCCAGGTTAACAACATATATTTATACTGATGTTTGATAGTGAATAACAACCTTAACATAGGCATTATGAAACTTTGCCACCCTGTGCCTTACTCAGGTCCGATATCCTCATCCCTGCTTTACAGATGAGAAAACTGGCCCAGAGAGTCATTTGAGCTCAAATTTCCAAAAGTCATAGAGCAAGAAGACAAACCTATGTTCTTGGTTTCTGTTCTTTGCTACAGCTGCCTTTAAAAAGGTCAAAACCATAACTAGTAGCACCGACTCTCCAAGTGCACACATGTGGCCAGATTCCATAAATAACTCATGAGATAAGTATCTGGATTGGAATATTTGAGTGCCTTCAAAAATGTGGGTGTGTACTAAAGTGCATTCTTTGACTTATTTGCCTCTTTCTGCAACCTGCCCCCCTCACCAGGACTTTGGCTTGACATCCTGTGGGCCTACACACCCCTTGTGCCAAAGGCTAAGTTCCTGGTTGACATCCTCTGTCTCCACTGGGGAATAAAACATTACCCTAGACATTCACTACAGGTCTCGGACAGTCAGCATGGCAGCAACCGATTTGACTGCTTTAGAGCCAAATCTGAGGAAGGAGTCTCAATAATATCATTTTCATTGAAAGAGTGGTCCATGACTCACTTTTAACGTCGTACTAAAAGGATTCCAGGTAAAGCTTCAGAAGAAAACATTGCCACTTACTCTATCATTGTGTCCCACAGCCATCACCATTTACTGATGAGGGAAAAGTTGTACAGTAACTTGCAAACCAGGCCATTCCACACATAAGAACATTCAAAGTGACAGCTGGGGACACATGGCTTCCTTCACAGCCACCTAAACCATAATGGACCAGCATGCAAGAATAGAATCTCTCTTATTTGCTAATTAAATATAATATATGTTTCAACAATGTTATCTATCAATACAGAAACTGATCACCTCTTCTTACTGGGGGAAACAGGGAGGGAGGTGTTGGGAGGATCAATTCCTAAGATCAAATTTCACTGGGGACCAAAAAGAAACATTTTTGACTGTGGTATCTGTGGGATAAGAGAGGAGGCAGGGAAAAGTGAGAACGAAACTCACACACACACACACACACACACACACACACACACACACACACACCACACACACCCTTTGGTTTTGAAATATTTTTTTTAATCCCTTAAATACTTACTCACACAACAGTACACCATTTTCTAGAGAGGCTCGAAAATCCTTTGTTTCAAAATTCTTCTCTGTCACCGCCTGAAAAGGAAATCTGGGTATTAATCATCTGTTGATTAGAGAAAATACACAAGTCAAATTCAGCAATAACATTAGCTCAGGTGTGTCTAATGTTATACTTGAAAGATATGTGTATATTACCAAAAGTTGTTTCCTGCAGGAAATTATGTGCAGTTATTATAGGGATAAGGAAAAAAGCAAAATGAGTGTTTTCAGCAATGTAAATAGACCCAAAAGGATGATAAATTAAAGCTTAAAAATTCAGCACATATTTTCTGTTTTTTAAAAAACTATCATTGTCATAGTGATAGTTAGCTCCACCAACCAAAGACACAATGCGTCTTGGGGACCCAGCTCTGACCCATCAAATTTACATCACCAGGATAGGAGTGGTCTCCAAGTATCCTAAGTAAGTACACTGGAAAGAGCCCCTCTAAAACTTCCTCTACTAACAGTAAATAAAAACAGGCTAAACGGTTTCATAAATTTGAAATATGCAGTACAGACCCACATCATTCAACTGTCTTTTTATTCCACAAGCTTTGTTCCAAAACTAAATAGCAAAAGACACCAAATGCCTTCCACCTACTCCAGACACTGGCCCGGTATGTGTCATCAGGAACAGCTTACAGAGCTGCCTTCAGGAGAAGACTATCAAAGAGAAGGGGTGCAAAGAGAAGGGGATGGCAGGGGACACAGGAAGGCAATTCCCAGAGGAGGGCGATTACTTAGGAGCAGGCTGACCGTGTTGAACACCATCAATACTATGCTATATATAGCACTGTAGCACTGTCCTCACGTTGTTCATCGATTTGCTCAAGCAGGCACCAGTAAGTCTCCATTGTGAGACTTGTTGTTACTGTGTTTGGCATATTGAATACATCACGGGGAGCTTGCCAGGGTCTGCCGTGCGGGTAGAATACTCTCGGTAGCTTGCCGGGCTCTCCAAGAGGGGCAGAGAAATCGAACCCGGGTCGGTTGCATGCAAGGCAAACACCCTACCCGCTATGCTATCTCTCCGGCCCAACACCATGAAAACTATCTACCGACCATTTCCCTCCAGGTGGGCTAGGAAAGTATCATGGAGAAAGGCAGAAGAGAGAAGCAGCTCCCAGAACAACGTGCGGGTCACCAGCAAGGGACTAAGCAGGGAACTGGAACTGGGACTTTTACACGTGGAAGGCCCGTGCTCCACAGCTGTGCCAGGGTGCCCCTAGAGGCAGCCAGCATGGATAAGCAGGAGCCCACGTGGTACCTGCCCCTGCAGAGAGAAAGTCTTGAAAGAATGATTTGGGAAGTAACTGATACTTTGAAAATTAGCTTCAGGGCCAGAAAAAAAAAATCCAACCCAGGGTCTCACACAGGCAAGGTGGGCGCTCGACCACTGAGCTGCATGCTCTGCCATGGAATCTGGTCAGCATCAATCTCAGGCCAAGCATGGGCCTCATGCTGTTCCCCCTCACCATACTGTGACCTTTACAGAATCACGCTCACCTTCCACAAGGCCCAGCACCGCTGCAGTTAGGTCCAGTACTGTCAGGTCCCAGATAAAACCACTTTAGGTTTCATTTCTCAGAAGTTAGTTAGGTGAGTGTGGACAGGAGTCTGAGTCAGGAGATGACTTCTCAAATTGCAGAATAAAAAGTCGATGGGTCTCTACAAAAGGCATTCGGTAAACAAGGGTGCATTGCTGACTTATGTTTACTGAGTGGCTGTTTCAGCCACTTTTCTGGATACTGGGTAGAGAATCACTTTTGTTGTTTTTCTTTGGTTCCCTTTTGTTTCTTGTTTGGGGGGCCACTTCTGGCAGAGCTCATAGATGACTCCAAGTTCAGTGCTCAAAGGTTGCTTCCATTGATACTTGGGGTGGCGGGGAGGGAAGCAAAGCCAGAATGTTCCTGGCATGCAAAGTGTGATGCATCGAAGCCCTCTGAGTTATCTCCCTAACCCTTTAGACATTGTACTGAACCCCCAACACACATTCCATGGAGCTGGGAATTGCACCCAGGACCTCCCCACACACAATATCTGGTTCCACTGAGTCACACTCTCAGCTGGGTAAAGTTTTTTCATTTTTAAAGCAGGTAATTCTAGGGCCTGGGATGTGGTTCAGTGGTCAAGCATAATCAAAAACAAAAAAAAAAGCAGATAAGATGATAAGATCCCCCCCCCACAAGAAATTTAAAGACCTTGAGTGGCGCATGGATGATCCCAGTCAATCTCTATTGTACAGACTTAAATTCCCTTCATCCTCAACAAAACAAAAACACCAAGGCAAGCACATAAGATCCAACCAGTGAACACAGAGTCACATGTCATTTCCGCGGGAACTTCTAACTAGAGCCAAGCGGCATAAAATAAGCACAGACATCTCCAAATCAAATGTCAGAGTGCTCATTCTCTCGAGTCATAGAAAATTCCTGAGAGCCACTAGGACTTAATTATCCCCCAGGTGAGCAGAGATGGGAAGGAGTGATTCACACAGAACGAGGTAGTGAGTGGCCTGGCAACGCCCATCGAGCCCAGGACAGACAGGAGCAGTAGGAGGGAGAGGCAGAGGGCAGAGGGCAGTCAACAGCAAAAGAGGCAGAGAAAAGGGCGTAAGCCCAACCAAAGTGATCTCAAATCTCACTTTCACTACCTGCTGCCCTATCATCTTAGGCAAGTTAAGGAACAGATCACCCACTCCTTAGCTTGAAGTAGCCACACTACCATACGTAATGGGTCAGCGGTGCATAGTCTCAGCAACTGGCCTCAGCTCCACACGTCTCCAGGTCAGTACTCAGACAACACACTCTAACAAGTAACCCTCGGAGGAGCACTTAGCACCATTTGAACCACACTCAGAATACCGTTTAATCAAGTACAAGTAAGAAAATATCAAGAGCTATTCAGAAAATGCAGCTATGCACAATGGTTCCATTCCCATCACCCCCCCCCCACCAAAAGGCAAAATCATAGCACACAATAAATTTCATTTTTTTCATGTGCCAAAATATTCATATGCTCTACGAGTTATATAAGTAACAAAATCTAAAAGTAATGCCATCAAATCAGACTTCATTAATACGATCAGAATGACCAGAATACAAAAATTAAACAAAAAATTAAATAAAGAGTTTATATGTTAAGGGCAGAAGATTCTTACATGTTCAAAGGAGATAGCATAGTTCTTTGAAAATACTGACTCACTGTTCTTGATGGGACGGGGGGATGGGGGGTGGGAGGGATGCTGGGACCCGTGGTGGTGGAGGATGGGCACTGGTGGAGGGATGGGTACTTGATCATTGTATAACTGAAACCCAAGCACAAAAATTTATAAGTCTATAACTGTACCTCATGGTGTTTCACTAATAAAAAAATAAACAAATAAATAAATAAATAAAAATAAAGTGTACTAAAGAGAATCCACCAACTCTATTCTGGAAACAACTTGTGATATGTGTCCTAAGTGTTAATTATGCATACTCTCAGGCCCACTAAGAATTTACACTAAGGCAACAAATATCAGGGGAACACAAAAACCAAGACAAAACTGTTTCATAGCATTCTGTATACTAACAATTACAAGCACAGTGACTTTCCAAAAATAACAAACTGTCTAAACTGTGATAGTCATAAAAATAGAAAACTACATAAAAGTTAAATCAGGTTATAAAAATAATGAATATGTTAGTTATAAAGGAATCTGAGAAAATATATAGGATATGATTCTAATAAGTATATAACGAAGCATGTACTGTGAGCATGAACTATAGAAATGGTAATTATTTCAAAGTGGTAGAAGTATATCTCATTTTAGTATTACTTTTAATTGTATTCCATAATAAACAAGTGCTTCTTGTGCAATATAAATACAAAGGAGTTGTAATAAAAAATATCATTCAGAGGCCACGGATTGTGCCTTATCAATAGAGTATGTGCAAAAACCAGGATTCCATAACCAGCACCACTTCCCATCCCAAAAACTAAATAAACAAAGTATCACTCAAGAAAGCTCAGAATCCATCAGCTTCAGATCAATTTCCTATATATTCTTATTTAAATGACAGATATACCAGTCTGTACAGTAATTAATCTTTCTCCTTATCTGAAAAAAAATAACACTGAAATTTAATAATCCTTATTGTTACTCTTTTTACCAGTAAGAATATTGAGACTCAGAAAGGCTAACTTCCTAAAAACAATAAATGACCTTCAAACTGCAGATGTTCTTAAAGCTAAATTAGAATATCTTGCCATATAATATGTCTTCAAAAGTAATCCTCCACTATTAAGGGTCTGCGGAAAAATGCACTGGGTAAATTAAAATGTTCAATCACCTCTTTGTCAATTTCTTGAATAAGAGATACACATACTTTTGATATTTACTATTTTAATATAGAATGTGTGAGAATGAGAAAGAGCATACAGTCAACTAAATTCTGATCAAAGGAAATATTCTCTTGAAGTGTTTTAAGAGTTTCCGAGGATACATACATCAACATTAGAAAACATTCATAATGGATACACCACCTATAATAACCTCAATAATTCAAAGCATCTGATTAAGTGAAAATAAAAATTAGGGCTGGAGGCACAGCTCACAAGACTGAGCACAGACTTTGCATGTGGGGGTGTTGGTTCCAATCCCTGCACCCCATGGTCCCTGAGTTAACAGCCCCAGAGCACTGCTAGGTGTGACCTCCAAACAGAAACAAAAAGAAAATTTAACTTGCAACTTATGTAATCATTTCAATAAAGGCTCATGTAAGACCCTTCCCAAGGAACTGAATCAAAAGACATTTTTCCAAGCGTTTTAAGCCAGAAAGCAAGTATGAGCGAATGCCCTGGCAGAGACTGGGTTGGGCCACAGTCCTTAAACAACAACTACAGGGCACTGTGTTACTCAGGGAGGCCAGTTTGGAGTCCAGAGCCTGTGCTTCCCTGCTCTCATCCAACTAAACTGGACCATCTACTGCACCTCTACTCACCTCTCACCTCATCTACTCACTCATCTACTCACCTCTGTGAC